GTGAAGGGACGAGAATGTCTGGTAGGACAGCGCTGGGGTGAAAAAAGCCACGTTCAGATCACGACCTTTAAGCTGTGTCAGAAGAAACAAAGCGCCTTGACAAAGGAATTAGCATATAATTTAGCATTGAAATGGCCGAGTGATTAGCTTGTGACTGGTCACAGAAATGGCTATGTTAAAGTTAAAGCATACACATCCGCAGAGGCACCCCTTGACAAAGGAATTAGCATAGAATTTAGCATTGAAATAGCTAAGTTAAAGCATACACATCCGCAGAGGCACCCCTTGACAAAGGAATTAGCATAGAATTTAGCATTGAAATAGCTAAGTTAAAGCATACACATCCGCAGAGGGGCACCCCTTGACAAAGGAATTAGCATAGAATTTAGCATTGAAATAACTAAGTTAAAGCATACACATCTGCAGAGGCACCCCTTGACAATGGAATTAGCATAGAATTTAGCATTGAAATAGCTGAGTGATTAGCTTGTAACTGGTCACAGAAATAGCTATGTTTAAAGTCAGAGCATACACATTCACCGAGGCACCTAGTACAAATCAAACAGGAGAATTTAGCATTGAAATAACTAGGTGAATTTAGCATTGAAATAATTGAGTGATTAGCTAGTGACTGGTCACAGAAATGGCTATGTTGAAGTCAAAGTCTACACATCTGAGCTATTCACAGTAACTGGGTATACAATACAATGTATAATGAATACTACATAGTGAACCAATAAAAAACTAAAATATAAATTACCTAAATGTCATCAATAAACTCTATATTCTCCAATCAGCTAAGCTACCAACAATAAGTCGTTATATATCACAATGCTATATGGCGAAAAAATGGGTGGATTCTTACCCTCAAATTTAGCAACACGGATAGCTACGGGCCCCGTTCAGACGGACGAGTTCATCCAAGGTCGGAACAGAGGAGGGGTAGAGAGACAGCTGCGAGGCGCTATTATACTCCATGTTGTAAACCATACCATTAACCGTGGTGTGAGAGGTATTAAGAGTCAATGCTGGTGAAAGAGCTGCGGTCTGAAGGTCATCGTAAAATACAATTAATTAAGAACGGAAATGGTTTAAAACATCTTTCCAATGGTTACTAAGCCAGAATCCATCTTCTCGGTTGAAATTGTCTCTGTGCTTGTATATATGAATGGCCTCATGAACGAATCTCTCATGGTAGCCGGTTGGTTTGCAAAGAACCTCCGTCTTGGAAAAGTCAATGTCATGTGAGCCCACTGAATTATAACAGTGATCTGCCACGGCAGAGGAGTTCGTCCTACCGTGTTTCAAGTCTGCTTTATGTTCACGGATGCGGTCCGAGATATGTCGTTTGGTTTCTCCAATGTAGCTACTACCACAGAGGCACTTTAGTTTGTAAATGCCCGGGTACTGTATGTCTGGAACAGCATCTTTTACAGATGGAACTAGATCACGGATTTTATGTATTGTGTTGAATCGGACCTGGATCTTGTGTTTATTCAGGATTTTGGAGATCTTTTTAGTGACCCCTGCAATGTAGGGTAAGGTGATGGTTTTGAGTGGCTCCACAAGAGAATCCTTCTTCATGACTGGAGTGATGGCTTTGCGGATTGTGTAGTCGGAGTAACCATTAGCCCTGAGAGCCTGGTGTACGTGCTTGAGTTCACTGGTAATGTGTTCCTGGTCGGAAATGCATTGGGCTCTATGGTATAGAGTCTTGATGAGGGAGTTCTTCTGGGATAGATGGTGGTGGAATCCGGTTTCAAGTAAGCATCTGTATGGGTGGCTTTCCTGTAGACAGAGTGGCTCATTGAACCATCATGTCTCCTTTTAATGAAGACATCCAAAAAGGGTAGTTTGCCATCTTTTTCGACCTCCATGGTAAATCTGATGGCTGGGTGTATGGAATTGATGTGGTCGCGGACCACATGGCCAGCCTGCTCTAGACCAATTTATTGATAACATTAGATAATTTATATTTTAGTTTTTTATTGGTTCACTATGTAGTATTCATTATACATTGTATTGTATACCCAGTTACTGCGAATAGCTCAGATGTGTAGACCTTGACTTCAACATAGCCATTTCTGTGACCAGTCACTAGCTAATCACTCAGTTATTTCAATGCTAAATTCGCCTAGTTATTTCAATGCTAAATTCTCCTGTTTGATTTGTACTAGGTCCCTCGGTGAATGTGTATGCTCTGACTTTAAACATAGCTATTTCTGTGACCAGTTACAAGCTAATCACTCAGCTATTTCAACGCTAAATTCTATGCTAATTCCTTTGTCAAGGGGTGCCTCTGCGGATGTGTATGCTTTAACTTAGCTATTTCAATGCTAAATTCTATGCTAATTCCTTTGTCAAGGGGTGCCTCTGCGGATGTGTATGCTTTAACTTTAACATAGCCATTTCTGTGACCAGTCACAAGCTAATCCCTCGGCCATTTCAATGCTAAATGATATGCTAATTCCTTTGTCAAGGCGCTTTGTTTCTTCTGACACAGCTTAAAGGTCGTGATCTGAACGTGGCTTTTTTCACTCCAGCGCTGTCCTACCAGACAGTCTCATCCCTTTACCTGATGAAGGCCGCTTGTGTTGTGGCCGAAACGTCGTGAGAATATTATTTTGTTATTTTATTTTATCAATTTATTATTTTATTCTCATTCTACGTGACTTTACCAAAAGAACCAAAGAAGATGAATCCTTGCAGTCACGAAAGCTTTAAATCGAAATTCATAATAATTGCTAAGTGCAGCCTTGTGTCAATCCGTGTCACCACTGATGTTTGCTCTGGCTGGAAATCGAACTCAGGTCGTCAGGTAAATACATAACGTAAACTATGAACCTATTGACATGCATATGTAACTCATCAATCCTATGTAACTCATCACTCATATGTAAATCACCAACCAGTGCTGGTGCTAGCCCTATGGGAGCAATTTGGTTTGGGGAACCCCATTTCAATTTGTCAAATCCTAGTGAGATGACAAGGGGGGTATATACAAGAGATGAAGTGAGATTAGGGAAACATGGATAAAAATAGGCATAGTGAGTTGAGAGAAGAGAGATGCAGACGACAAAGATGAGAGACTAATTGAATGTGTATGCTATGTATTGGGATTTTAAAGTAATCTGATATCTCATGGCATGAATCCAGAGTCACTGAACCGGCTTGGTGCCCCAGAGATTTTTCTTGGCTTGTTGATGCCACCGCTGTCTCCAAGGTGCAGACATTGGCTCAGAGAGAGTTGGAGGCCCTGGTTGGGTTAGTCAGAGTCATCTGTCGCCTGTTACACGTGTAGTGGATTCAACTGAGCCGCAGACGTACTCTTTGGAGGCAACATTTATTGATACCAACACAAAGGGGTAACTGTCCTTTTACCAGATAACAACCTATGGTGGTGGACCACCAGGATAACTACACACTATAGTGGTGGACCACCAGGCTAACTACACACTATGGTGGTGGACCACCAGGCAAACTACACCCAATGGTGGTGGACCACCAGGCTAACTACACACTATGGTGGTCGACCACCAGGCTAACTACACCCTATGGTGGTGGACCACCAGGCTAACTACACACTATAGTGGTGGACCACCGGGCTAACTACACAGTATGGTGGTGGACCACCAGGCTAACTACACACTATAGTGGTGGACCACCAGGCTAACTACACCCTACGGTGGAGGACCACCAGGCTAACTACACACTATGGTGGTGGACCACCATGCTAACTACACCCTATGGTGGTGGACCACCAGGCTAACTACACACTATGGTGGTGGACCACCAGGCTAACTACACAATATGGTGGTGGACCACCAGGCTAACGACACACTATGGTGGTGGACCACCAGGCTAACTACACCCTATGGTGGTGGACCACCAGGCTAACTACACACTATGGTGGTGGACCACCAGGCTAACTACACACTGGTGGTGGACCACCAGGCTAACTACACACTATGGTGGTGGACCACCAGACTAACAACACTAATCACATTGGGAGTAGCTACAACGGACAGAACCCCGGCTTGGGTCCAGGTCCACGTGTTGGTGACTCTTCTCGGACGTAGAATGTAGATCTTTAGGATGACAACAGCAACGCAGACCCCCGGTCCCTCTGGGGACCCGGTTTATATTCTCACGGGTTGTGGCTGGCGCCGCCCTTGGCCACGCCCACCTTCTCGAATCCTCTAGCAGGAACTCGCCCGACACGTGACCACCCCTAGCTCCCCACTTGGGGCCCCTGTGTAGATCTTACCCATCACGTGCCTTCCAGAGTCAACCAGAGTGCCATGGCCTACATTGACTCCATTCATGGCCGGCACCCTCACACTGCACGCCGAGCATGGTGCCACTCAGCGCTCTTTATCAGCGCTCACCGAGCCCCTCTAGGGCTGGTACTACACCCACATGTACGGGGTGTCCGCGATGGCGATACATAGCACACCGAGCCTCGCTAGGGCCGGCGTCACACAGTGACATCCGCAATGTCACTACAAGTGTGTGAAGTTCATAGCGCTCAGCTCATTAGGCAGGCGGGAATGAATGCTCTGTCAACGGCCACACTAATTACATGATTGTTTTGGGTAATAGGTTCTTCGTATGTACGGAAGGCAGAATGCTTCTTTCCGCTCGCAGCAGTCGTGCAGCTCTCCACTTAGTGCACAAAATCCACAGGTTGGGAAGTGGCGAGTGGTGCCCGACGCATGGCCCCGCGCACTGCTGGTGGTTGCACAAAGTCATCGGAAGTTTATTTACCCTGGCCATAGGAATGTGGTATTTTCACCACGGACTCAGGGTTGTAAACAGATCAGCATTGGTGCAATGATTCAATGCTAATTTGAGCGGGAAAACACTCTTCCTTGATGTCTAATACCCATTTGTGGGTACGTGCCCAAAATGTATGTGTGTGCACGTACGCATATGCGTGTATGTACGTGCATGCGTGGGTGCAAACTCACTAATCTGTGTGTGCGTGCACGCGTGCGCAGATGCTCGCCATCATCTCCATCCTGTTCATCGTGCTGTCCACGATCGCGCTGTCGCTCAACACACTGCCCGAGCTGCAGCACAAGGACGAGTACGGCCACTTCACGGACAACCCGAGCCTGGCGCACGTCGAGGCCGTGTGCATCGCGTGGTTCACCACCGAGTACATGTTGCGCTTCCTCTCCTCACCCAACAAATGGAAGTTCTTCAAAGTGAGACCCGCAGAGCTTCCGGCCGCTCGTGCGCGCGTCTGTGGACATGCCCTACCGTGGGCAGCAGTGGTGGCACAGCGGTTGGTGCAGAGTGCTGCGTATATATAAAATTACACAAACCCAGCACCGCAGCGACCCTACTCTGATTCACGTTCACAGCCAACACTGGTAACAACTATCTGAACTTGTCCTGGGTCTCCCACAAGGTTGACTCAGCCGTAAAAAATTGTGTGAATATCAACACTGGAGAGACACAGTTGGCCAGGCGTGGTGTTGCCCACCCATTTTCTGCAGCTAGATAGATTGTTCCATCAGAGGACTCTGATGGATCATAACTGCAGATTAACTCACTGATGTTGGATTACATTGGCTCCTGCGTAATATTGGAGTGTACCATCTGTGCAAGGGGTGGGGGGTTGCCACATAAAACATAATATATTTGCTACTATGAACAAACCACCCTGCTTTAGAAGGGTTGAACCTGGTTATTACTTGGTTTGGAAACCACCAGAGCTTGCCATGTGTTGTAGGCTTGGGGGCTGCGAGTTGTGATCAGGAGATTTCAGTGCTGAGATTCACCCCCTCATGTACAGCGTGGTCGTGTGTCCTCCGGGTTCTCCAATGTCCTCCAATGTCCTCCCACACAACGCCAAACACTTGTTAACGGAATTGGCTAAACATCCCAACGCATATGTTGGTCATGTTCATGATTTAACGCCTCAACCTGTTTCCACTCTCCTTGTCATTTATTCTGTCCGTACTGTGGCGAATATAAACGATGAGTTAATGATATTTTAATGATCTCGGATATCACAAGGGCATACCTTGTAAAAGGTCCACGTGTGTTGCAGTAATTCCTCAACAGGAATGCGTATTTCTTAAATATTGTGTCGAGAAGTCTATTCGTCACATTATTCTTCAGAGAAAGGAATATTAATGTGCACTCACTGATTGTCTGCTCTTCCCTTCTTTGTAATTGAATGTGGTCTAATGTCTGCTCAAGGGTGCTCTCAACGTAATTGACCTGCTCGCCATCCTGCCCTACTACATCACCATCTTCCTCACCGAATCCAACAAGAGTGTGCTGCAGTTCCAGAATGTGCGTCGCGTCGTCCAGATCTTCAGAATCATGAGGATCTTGAGGATCCTCAAGCTGGCTCGCCACTCAACAGGCCTGCAGTCACTGGGGTTCACGCTGCGCCGCAGCTACAACGAGCTCGGCCTGCTCATCCTCTTCCTCGCCATGGGCATCATGATCTTCTCCAGCCTCGTCTTCTTTGCCGAGAAGGATGAGCAAGACACCAAGTTTAAGAGCATCCCGGCATCCTTCTGGTGGGCAACCATCACCATGACCACGGTGGGCTACGGGGACATCTACCCACAGACGCTGCTCGGCAAGATCGTGGGTGGCCTTTGCTGCATCGCGGGCGTGCTCGTCATCGCCCTGCCCATCCCCATCATCGTCAACAACTTCAGCGAGTTCTACAAGGAACAGAAGCGGCAGGAGAAGGCGGTGAAACGGCGCGAAGCGCTCGAGCGTGCCAAGCGCAACGGCAGCATCGTGTCAATGAACTCTAAGGAGGCATGCGCCCGTGGCCTGGAGCTGTCCGACATGTCTCAGCATCACGGCTCCAGCATCGAGGTGCACAAGGAGAAGGAGGCCGATGCTCTGCAGCAGCAGCAATGCTCGCCGGGCCGCTGGAAATGGGGGCGTCGCTCCGTGACCTCCCTCGTGGAGACTGGCTCAGTCAAATCCCTCGAGCTCAAGACGAGCGAGTCACCCAGCCCGCGGGAAAAGCGGGCTACGGCAGCGACCGATAACGTGGAGGCGGTGGCTGCGGCATCGACCGGCTTTGCTGGCACCACCTCGAACCCAGTGCCCGGAGACTCACAAAGGCTGAGCGTGGAGCGGTTGGAGGAGATGTTCGACGAGATGGCAAAGTCTCGGCCCCCTGTGGACCCGATGACCCTGTCCGCGAGCTCAGGGGAGTGGCCTCCAATGGCCGCAGAGGGGCGGACGGGCCCACTGCCCACCGTCTCCTCGGACTTGCACTTCCAGGGGCTGACAGGCAGCACGGGCAGCGAGCAGCACCCAGAGATGCGAAGTTTCTCCAGCGTCGACAGCTTCACAAGCTGCACCTCCGAGTTCCTGGACAGTGACCGCCCACTCAGCTTCATGTCCGGCCTGTCCGAAGTGGCTGGCGATCCACGGCCCAAGCCCCTGCCCATTATCAGCGAGTGCGGCAAGGGTGTCACGCCATGGACCAAGCCGCCGGCAGGGGTGCGGTCCAGCTGGCACGTCGGCGACGCGCACACGCCGCTCCAGCGTCAGCAGCACCACAGGGCTCCCTTCGGCAGCGCGCAGAGGGAGACCTGCGGCAGCATCAGGAGCCGCCCCGTGTATCCTGCTGCCACCGCCACGGCAAAACCGTGGAGCAACAAGGGCTGGAGCAGCCTGGCGGAGCTGAGCACGCAGCCGCTGGCACTGGGTGCCGTGGGGAAGGGTCTGTCTGGGTCGTCCCTCAGTGCCACGCAACCGGGTGTAAATACGGCTGAGGCAGCCGCGAAGCGGCCCAACTCTGGCATGCTGCCGACGAGGGAGAATGAAGACAACAGCGCTGGCGGCACTGGGGACGGTGCGGCGAGACCGTCCAGTTCCCGCTTCTGCGACGACGGCGGTGCTGTCCCAGAAACCCGCGCGGCCTCCCAGGGGGAAGCAAACCACGTGGAGGCGGTTCTGCCTCCGGCCACCGCCCGCCGCTTCGATGGCCACATCGCGGAGCCCGGATACGGACAGAACCACGTGCGTGCCACGTCGGCGCCGCTCGATCACAAGGTGCTCCTGGCACCGGAGGGAGACGGCACCGAAGACGCAGAGGCGCTGTCCACCGTGTGTGAGACCAGCATGTGAGAGCGCCCCCATTCCTCCCAACGCGGGACGTGAAAACCAGCTCGGCGAGTGGTGGTGCCGCGCAACCAGCCAGCGGTGTAGAGAAGCTGAATCGTTGCTGTCGTGCGTGGCGCGTGGCGGTTGGTGCCGTGCCGGCCGAGTGTGCGGGAGGTGCCGTGTGGGGCGAGTGTGCGGGAAGTGCCGGCGCAGCTGGAGGAGCATGATGGGTGCCGTTCCGTGGCGCGCGCACCGAAAGCCGAATGAGACGCGAGAGCCCTCCCTGGGAACTGTGCCCCGGAGGATGTTTTTGCTCGTGTTTTTCTCCCATCTTCATTCAATTATTTTTTTGTCCATTCTGTTAAATTCAGGGATGCAGACAAACGGTGGGCATTATATTATGGGCAACCAGGTAACGTTCGGTTGGCTGCTGATGCGAAAGAGGAAACGGCAATGGATGACTACAGTGGCGGAAATAAATCGTGTTTAATTAATCTTTAATTAATCTTACAAATCCCGCGCAGTGAGCCGATTGCGATTAATTATCCCCAAAGTGAGACTGAGAGTGGTGTTTTCTGATGGGAGGATGGCATCCTCGCCTCCCAATAAGGCACGTAATGTTGCCCGATTACCGGCTTAATCCTTGGAAACGCACGCCATCACGACCCGTGCGTGGTTCCACGGTGCTGGAAGGGAAAACCTCTCGGGAATTGAGAAAATTATTGCCACGCTAATGAAGCTCGCAGCGAACATTACGAGTTGCCGCTGTTGTCGCCCGCGTTTGTTTGCTTCACACTTGAGGATGCTTAGTTTGTCGTGACATGCCTTTTTGCTGGTTTGGAATGACGACAGCGTGCAATAACCAGGCCCGTCAGGAGGAATAAATGACACAAAAAACCTACTCCAGCCGCACAAAGCTCACGAGGAGAATGTAAACACTCTACTTTTATCAGCGGAGCTGCAAATTATGCATATGTAAATGGGACATTTCGGCTTTTTGTGTTGGTTTGTTTCATTTCATTGGTTCCGCAGAGATACGCTGAAAACAAGCTTCGCAAGCATTTGCGAAGCTTGTTTTCATCCCTGGCCATCGCTGGCAGATGGGAATGAAAATTGACCGGAGCAAGAAGCGAGCGATCAGCCCTCTCCTCTTCTCATTCCATTCCTCATCAGACAAAAAAGGAAGCACTTTGTGGAGGATACGTTTTATAATAAACGAGAGTGAACGGCAAATGGAAAAGCTTCCCGCAAGATCTTCCCAGGAGTCCAGATGATCGGGTCCTGGATATTGCGTCCTCACTCTGTTACCACAATGGTGGTTCATCCGAATACCAGTCGCAACGGGAGTTCCTGTAACATTGTTAAAGTAACAATCTCATGCATTGTTAATGCCGGTTTTAAATACTAGTTATAATGGTATAAAATGCATCAACTGCCCTCCACAAACACACACACTTGTGCTCAGTCATTCAGATGCATACACACACATGCATCTGTATTCTCTATCAAACGTGTACACATATATACCCACACTCACATTCGTGCGCGCTACCCCTCGTTCCATCTCGACGCCCCCTCCACCATCTCACACTGACCTAACGACCATTTCCATGGTCGCTTCACCTTCACAGCCGTTCACCGTCACGGCGGAGACGCGAAGCTCTGTCACCCGGCTATGAAAACACAAACTCGCACCACAGACGCTCAGATCCACGCGCAGGTTGCTTTCCGTTTGTCACGATTTTTTATTTTACTTTCCCTGCCCCCACAACAAAGCCGCCCCCTGCTCCGAGTATGCTATGCAGACGTCCCATCCGCCTGTGGTCTCTGCATGCTCACGGTTCACCTCGCCCATCGCTTTCCGAGCTCTCGTCGAGACGACTTCGATAACAGTGGCGGTGGTTGTGTTTCTTGGGGTGGTGTTTATGCTAATAATGGTGATGGTGGTGGTCATAGTGGTGGTGATGATGATGATGTTGTGAATGCCAAAAGAGAAAACCGAACAAAAAGGTAAAAAAAAGCCTGCCAAATATAAGGGGTAGGAGGAGTACACGAGGCCACCACCCCTGACCGCGATCCCAACCCCAGACCCAAACTGCACTGCCAAAATAAACGTGAGCCCAACTCTTCATGCGAACTAGCTAACCACACTTATACAGTAGCCCTGCCCAGAGCCTAAGCACGAAAGTCAACTAGACTCAACACCTGCTCCCAACCCTAACCACACTAACCAGATACCACCTCTAAACATAATCACACTCTATCCAAACGCTTGCCCTAACCAGTAACCCTAAACAGTCCCAAGCACTAGCTCTACCCATAACCCTACCCATAACCCTTAGCACGCTGGCCAAGCAGCCCCAAACAATACTCCTATTCCTTACCCCAACCACACTTGCTAACATAACTCTCTCTAGTCCTAAGCACACTAACCAACAAGCCTCTAACATTAGACCAGCCCCTAACCCTACCCACACTACCAGTCGTCTGGGACGCTCTTTCTGAAATAAGTTCAACATACATACACGCAACCAGTCCCCATCACTGGCCCTACCACTGAAACCATTCCTGTCACTAGCCCCACATCGGGGCTCTGCGCAATCCCCTTGTCAGTTTTTATTATTTTTTCAGGTTTAGTTTTTACATCGCTGGGATGAAGGAATCATTGTAACCAGGGCAGAGTGGCTGTGACAGGAGTGACACCGCCGTATCCTTGTACACAGATAGGCGGTTAAGACTTCTTACCCCTCGCCATAATGCAGTTGTGAAGTCTGCAGAATTTTGCGACGTGATAATGACAAACTGTAAACCAATAACAGCAGCCACAAGATACAGCTGCGATGCGCAATTAACGACATGTAATGGGCAAAGTGATTTCCGATCCAATCGAGCTGGCAGGAGTAGGTGTCTGATAGGCCATCTTGCAGAGTTTTGAGTTCTGTCCCATTGTACGGGTGAGCACAGTGGTCTCCTGCCACGCCCAAAAACTCGAGGCAATTGGCCAAACATCCCAATGCAGAAACCTTGAGACACATCAGAGGCTTTTTCCAGGAATAACAAAATGAATGATCAAACACGAGTGCAATATGAGCCAATATGAAAATACTGGGCTGAAAAGTTACTGATAGTAAACGGTCGTTTAAATAAAAAATCAGGAAGACACTGCAAAGATTTGGTGGCCTACAGCCAGCCAATAGAACAATGAGAGTTGTAGCGAATGAACGGTCCGACTCGCCTTACAGCTGGACGAGGGAGGTAGCGAATTGAGTACATGGCTGTGTGCGATACGGGACACAGGGTAGGGTGCAATAACGTATCGCGCGATTATCCGAGAGATTATTGACCTTTACATAACGTGCAAGTCAGCATTTCTCGGCGAGAAGCAAGTGATTTTTAGCCGTGTCTGTCCTTTTTTTTGTCATCGCCCGTATCAAACTAGAGCCGTGTTTTAAATACTCGTAAATACAATGGGCGCAGAGTGCGGGTGTATAGACGCGATGCGTCCTGTCTGTCTGTGTGCTGCTCGTGCGTGTCTCTCTGGGCTTGTCCCGATGTCTCCGGTGTAGCCTGCACGTGTCCGCATGTCTCCCTGTCCCCATGCCACACCTTGCTGTGACGGTGAAAGATTTGTTTTAAGTCTTCCCAGTGCAAATCCCAGCTGTGCCCGTGAGCGAGTAAGCGAGGTTTAGGCGGGCAGCTGCTGGTAACCCGGTTTAATCACCACCGACAAAATCACCGACTTCTCATTGAGGCAAAAGTAAACGTACGGCCCTACGCCTGCTCGCGCACACCACTGCTCAAGCGAACTCTCGATGGCACTTGGTCTACTCGTCCACGTTGACCGCGCGTCTTGAAAAAGTTGGGTGTACCCACATTTTACCTCGCCACATGCGAATCGACGAACAGTCGTGCATCCATTTATTATGCTGGGTGGAGGGATTTGCGAAATCCGCACCAATATTTCAGCTGCCGCGCCAGGAGATGAAATTAAATTGGTGACCTCTGGATTGCAAAAAAACTCTCAAATTCGTCAATAACACTGCCTTTAAATAAAAAAAATATATAATAGAGACCTGGAAGAGGATGGTCGGAGACTGTTAGGGCATATCTTGAATGTTACGCGTCGACTGTGGTGAAGTTGCGGGATCTGGCGAAGGGGAGAGAGCGTTGGCAGCAACGAGCTGGTGGTGGCATCAGCGGCTTACCTCATGATCACATCCCATCTTGATTGGTCACTTCTGGCGTAGTGTACAGTACTGCGATTTATGTCAGTCCTGTCGATTTTACAAATAACTTGTATTGAAATAAACAGCACTTATTGGAATTAAAATTCTGCTTGCAAAGCCAGCAAAAGTTCCCTCCATGGCAGAATACCGTATTTTGCGCCAGCGAACTGGTCTACTCGTATCGGCAAACTCGTTGTGATCAGGGCAGCAGGGACCGTGTTGTCGCACCTGCAACCACTTCACGCAGCCTCCTCCCTCCTCGCTAGATGAGTGGACGTCCCTGGAATTTCAGCGATGGCTTATTCCAATTCTCTCATGAACTTTGCATAGTGTGTATATATACATATCTGTCTCTACACGCGTATTATGATCATTATTTATTTTTGTTTTCAATTGTGCGTCATCGCTCGAGTCTCCTGCCGCATGTTTTCACCTCCGCTGCAAGGACTTCCAACGGTGGGTCTCAACCTAACCAGCGCACGCGTGCGTGCGTGGACCTGTACATACCCGTGACCTGCCAAGACGACCACCCCTCCTAGCCCCGCGCTTGCGCTCGGCAGGCGCTCGTGGCGGAGGTGCCCCACCTCGGGAGCTCACCAGCGCGCCAGGGCGGCAAACGGACGTGGGTCAGAACCTGAACTCTCAGCCTCAATCACCGCTCATCTGCAAGGCTGCTTTCGAGTCCCTGCCGATGACTCAACTACTCACCCACCCACCCACCCTGGTCCTTGGAGTGGTGCGAAATATGCTCAACCTGGCTGCTTTATATCACAACCTCCGTACAGGAAAGAAATTGGGAGGGCATCGCCCCCCAACCACAACTGGGGCAGTGCACAATTAAACACTCGGAGTGGCGTGCCACCCACGCTAGACCGACAAAGCGAAGACTTGTGGGCCAAGGGCGAAACGATGGTCGGCTCGTGGTTGGCGGACGCAGGACAGACTCTCATTGCCTGACAGGAGCGAGGCGACGCCGTTAGCTCGCGGCTTCTTGCGGCGTGGCACTGGGACGGGCATTTGTGAGGCTGTTCATTGGTAATGCAATGTACTAATGAATGTCTGAATGTAAAGGCACAGACTATTTAAAGTATTATTGTACAGGAATAAATACTAAAACAATCAACAGAGGCCAATGTATGAAACGGTAAAGAGACAATATGTACTATACAGAGTGAAATTATTATAGTTGTGTAATTTATAAAACTAATACGATAATTTATAAACTGGGCAATTACCAATTTTGCACCTTACGTGAACCCTTCCCCCTCCCCCAATGGTGGATGTTCTCTGTTCGCTGTGCATTGCTGTTCTGTTTGGGCCATGCACGTGGACACGAGCTCGTGAGAGTGTCAGTGGGGAATTTGCTTCAACTTTCTCCATTTTTAAAAGCAATAACGTGTTCTTTTCCCGTTTTGGCTTTCGTTCACTGTCAATGTGCCACTCGGCAAGGTGCATTCCTCCTCCTTTTAACGGCTGTCATCTCCGCGTCGTGATCCCCCATCTCCCGTCCTCCGCCTCGTTATATGTGCCTGCTCGCCACGGCGTCCGTAACACAGCGTAGACTGCCGCTGGCGAGGTTGGTTCTTCCTCAGATCTAGGTTGAGGAGGGTAAACAAACTCCACTCTGGGTTTCCCGGCCTCGGGTGATAACGCGTGTATGGCGGATCGACTGAGAAAATAGAATTCCGAAAACTGGCAGTGGCTTCGTCATCATAGGTGCTTTCTCAGAGACCCGTAGGCTCACATAGAGATAGATTCACACAGGACTCACTCACACACAGACTCATCATACACTGACAAAGATACCAATAAACTCGCAATGAGACCCACAGACGTGCAGAGACCCATTGATACACTTGAATGCGCTGACAGTGGGTTTATCATCAGCACTTTCTAACAGAGGCTCATAGACTCATATAGAGACCTGCAGGCTAAAATAAAGACTCATAGCCTCACATGCAGACCCACTGCGAAACTGTAATGAACTGGCAGTGACTAGCCAGAGCACCACAGCCTCACAAAGAGACCCCTTGAGTAATTGGCCTGCACTGGCGGACGCAGTGGAGAACTGGTCTGGCGGAGCCCAGCAGGCAGCATGGTGATTACTGGACATCTGTGAAAAGAGCTTCATAGCTCATCGAATTTCTCCAGGAAAAAGAAAGATTCTGATTCCGGATGGAGCAAAGGAGCAATCTCACGTGCTCGAACCAACCAACGATTTTTGATTCATACGTAAATTGCTTCAGGTCACCCCTCCAGCCACTGGAGGTGCTCGAGGAGTAATCGTGTTTACGCCACCCGCTAGCCTCCGGAAGTTTCGTGGAGGGCTCCCTTCGGTGGAACAACCATACCTGCTCAGTAGTCCCACGGGACCACACCCACGGCCTCCAAGGTCTATTTCCCGGCTGCCAAGGTTTATGATGTCACGTTCTCACACGTGAGGTCAATGATGTCACATTCTCACGCGTGACAGCCTGAGAGCGTGGCTTTGACAGTTGGTGATGGAGAATAATATTTTGGCTGGAGGGAACTCGGTCAGGTCATCCATCAGACACGTCATGTGTTCCTGGGTCGTGCTTCCGAGGTCATGTCACACAACCCACGAGTGTCCGGGCTGACCAAGTTAGCCGCACGAAGCAGCTAACGTGGTCAGCCACACAGACAATAATGCGTGATTTCAATGTAATCATATCATGGAGTAATTTAGATGATTTCTTTAAAGTTTTCCAACTCCGTTTGATAGTGTTAATATTTCATTTTGGTCTGTTTATCTGTGTGTAGCGGGGGCTGGGGTTTGGAGTCACAGTAATCAGCATCAAGTTGACCCCAAATGAATACAAACTTTTTAAATATAAAGCCTTGTTGCTATTTTGAAATTAGTCTTTGCACGATTCCAAAAGTTAGAGATCAAAACCAGGGCTTAAAGGATAAGCCTTGTCGACCAAGGTGATGAAGTCATTATGTGTGAGGTCTCATTGTGCGGCTGAGAAGGTAGCATTATTATCGCTGATTGAACAGTCCTGAGGACAACACATGCTGATAATCATTACAGAACCCATGCGTGATCTGTCTTCCCGGCTGTATTTTATTTCATTTATTGTTTTTATTTCATGTTAGTGTTATTATTTGATTTCTGTGCGTTGTATTTTTTTACACTGTGTAATTCATTGTGTTTATTCTATTTCAAACGTCTCCCGCACCCACAAGTCCACAACCAACAATTCCACAACCAACAAATCCACAACCCACAAGTCCACAACCCACAAGTCCACAACCAACAATTGTACAACCAACAAGTCCACAACCAACAATTCCACAACACACATGTTCACAACCAACAATTCCACAACCCACAACCAACAAGGCCACAACCAACAATTCCACAACCCACAAGTCCACAACCAACAATTCTGCAACCACAACCAACAATTCCACAACCAACATTCCACAAACAAGACAACAACCAAGAATTCCACAACCAACAACTCCACACCCAACAAGTCCACAACCAACAATTCCACAATCAACAAATCCACAACCAACAACCGACCAGGTAATCTCTCAAGGTGCAATTTCCTCTTCAAACTCCAGCCGCTAACACAGCGCATTTGGCCTGTCACACGTGGCCACGTTAGATCGACCACTGCTGACACCCCATGAAGTGATACCAACTTCAAATGCCCCTGGGGTGATAGACTAAATCGCTCTCTGACAGGGATGTGAAATTTCAACTTTGTAATTGTAAGTCAAAAGCTCTTACAGCGACACCACCTTGCAGCCAGATTATTCATAGAATTGCGTTGTGATAATATAATTGCTGAGGCCACCAAAGTCAAGCGTGTATATCATGAATCTAGGCCACTGCGTAAAAGCCAGGGTGGTGGCGGCTTGGGCTTGCTGCCCACGCGGATAATTTCGCAGATTCCCCATCACCAGTGGAGGCGCTGTCTCTCTGATGTCCAGGCATGTCACCATTCTCCGATGCACAACATTCAAATGTCACATATTATTGTCATTATTTGATTCAAAAATCGATTCCTTATTTTTCTGATTGGTCGTAGTGTCTTGCGTGCATTGCCCATGTCACTTGTATTGTCTTCACTGCGCTGTCTTTCAGAGTTAAAGTGATTTCTGGCTCAGTTCGTACTGGGGTGGTGCCCATCAACCGTTTACAGCCCTGAGTTAGTGGGAATATTCCACATTCCTATGAAAGGGGCGAGTCTATCACTGATGACCTCCCCACAAAGTGGTGCTTATTTTATCGACCCCAGAAGGGTGATCGGCTGAGACAACCCCCAACCAAGACTTGAACTCGCAACCATTGGACTGCAAGCCGCTCACTCTGCCTCCGAGCCACTTCTTTGGTCGGGACAGTGCTGTCTGTACCTGTCTGGTCGGTACTGTTTGTCTCATCCACACTGCATGTCACTTGTACTGCCTCATTTTCATGGTCTCGTTCGTATTGGCTAAACTGTGTTGTTCATCTTATTTGTATTTTCTAGTTTGTCCGCTTTGTCTGCCTCGTCTGTGCGTTGGTGTCTCTTGCAATGCCGCGTGCCGCGTTACTTTGTACCGTGCGTTTAGTCCATCTCGATTGCTCTGCGCGTCTGCTCTGTAACTATCCACCTCGTTTGTTCTGACCCTTACAGCCTCATCACAATTGCATAAAATTATAAATGTACATGTGGAGATATGAATATATTCATACATTTTAACCTCCAAAGTCCAGCCCTAGGCAATCAAACCTAGCTCACCAGCTACAAGCAGTGTCTCTGACCCTAAACCACTTGCCAACCGACCTCTCGTACATAGCGAACCGATTAGCATGGTTATATATGTACGGTGTGAAAAAAGTTCAACGTACATACATAGTGAACAGGTTAACCAAATCCTAGCCCTACCACTTACCAGCATGCCGACTGACCACGAGTCACAGCTCCACCACTCTTCGTTATCTTCCCAGTGTTCAGTGTTCACGGCGCTCAAGTTAGAATATGCAAATTGAGCTACACACTTTGTTCTATCTCTGCCTCCTGCAGGTCAAAATATAAAACAAACAACAAAATGAAAACTCAAATAAATTAAAGTGCCGGATCCCTGTGGAGGGGTCACGCTGGAGGAGGTGATGTATCCGTGCCTGTCCCGTCTGTTTATCTGTCAGAATGTTGTTATGAAGCCCTGATGTTCTACCAAATCTGAACTGTCATGCTAGTGTATGATAATTAAAGCTGAATAATGAGAATATCAACATTAAAGTCTTTTTTTAAAAAAACAACCGCAGATGTTTACGAGTCGTTAACAAAACCCCACCAGTGACGGAGTGTTGTGAGGAGAGTCCACCTGGGGGTCGTCTCGATACTTAACATCTCGCTTGCAAGGGTGTCTGGATGTAATTTTTACAGTGTACCATCGCACTTTATCATCAGAAAACTGAACACGTTTGTTATTAACAATGCGTGGCCTTCAACGGAAACATACGACAATAGCAGGCGACGTTTCGGGCAATGGCCCTTTTTCATTGCATGTGCTTGTGCACCACAGCTAACGCAGTGTCACCAATCACTTGTTCACCTTGCAAGCGCACTGCCATGATTTGAAAAGGTTCATTTAAGTGTTGCTGAGCACAGGCCCAGAGACCCAAATCATCAAGCGGCCAGAAACAAACAGCACGATTAAAGTTGCAAGAGATGAGTGAACACGTTGCATTTAACTTTCGTGTTTAGGTGTTGACCCCCCCCCGCACCTCCAATTAGCACTGTTGGCTACGCACGGTGGTTTATATCAGAAGTGTTTATATGTCGAAAGCTTGGGAAAGAGATGATGACGGGAGGAAATTCCAATGTGGAACAGAGTGTGTTGTTGCGACCTGCATGCATGGTGATGAGTGGGTCAGTTTTGTGAGTATGTGAGTAGGGTGCGTGAGTGAGTGAGCAGGTGAGAGTGTGGGTGAGTGAATGGGTGAGTGAGTGAGCGGGTGGGCGAGTGAGTTGTTGGGTGGTGGGTCAGACGAGACCGGTGAGGCAGCTACGCGGTGGTCGCTCACCGCATCCGCGGGCTTGTTTGACTCGGACACGGGTAACAACACTCCAGCAGCAGCAGCAAGTCGCCATATCAACAACAGCAGGTGGAGGGAGACACCGGCGGTGATCTTAACCTGTACATAGCCTGGCAAAAGTACCGTTGTGACGTCACCGCCACTTAGTAGTGATTGGCGATTGTTGTTGATCTCACTGCCAGATGCTGCTATTTCTACTCACGATACAAAGCTGAAATAGCCTCGGCACGACCGGGCTCGGATAGCTCCAAACCGGTTCAGAAAGCACGGACCTGGCTCGGATAGCCAGGAAGTACGACCCGTGTCACTGAAGATGCAATGGGTTTCCTGTGGCACGGATAGGGTCGCAACATTTTCCATTGCAGACAAAACCCGAACATATTTCTCGGTCAGCCCAGATATTTTAAAACCGTGCAGGGAAAGCTCAGTGGGCTTACCTAGGAAAATAAAATAATTTCGCTTTTTAGTTAGATTTTCACTAAAATCCCTCTCGCCACATCCCCTGTATCAATTTCAGTCCGATGATCGATCCGTTTATTCCCCGCACTCTTCTCTCGTATGAATAGCGTAATTAAACGCATACAGAGTGATGTTGTGAGTCACAGGTGTGTGTATTCGCCAGCCGGGTGTTAATGCGGATCAACGAGGGTGAGTGATGCATCCTTGAGTTCGGAAGGGCAGACTGTGGATCGCGGAAGCCCCAGCCGCGGGGATCCATG